AACCCATCCTCTCAATCAAATCATCTCATCCAGTCTGAATCAGATTGACCCACTGTGCCCAAATCCTCCTCCACCTCTCGTCTCGCCTCCCGTGCCCGACCTTCCCCAGGCGAAGGTGGCAGACTTTGGGCTTGTGCACGTGGGGGAGGGCACAGCAACGGGCACAACAACGGGATTCACGCGAGTGCTGGGAACGGTGGGCTATGTGGACCCTGCTTACTTGCTCATGCACAACGCCACCACTTCTGCAGACGTTTACAGGTGCGTGCAGTGCACACTTGAGTTCGGTTTCTTAGTTGAGTTGGATTTGTGATTGAGGGAACGCAACGCCACTACCACCCTCACTGGTGTGTACAAACGTAGTGCACCCTTGAAGGGCACAGCTACAGTGAATGACACTCGTCCAGGAGTTAATCAGAAGGAAGGGGTTCAAACCACAGCCTCTACTTGCTTAATGCAAGTATAATGACAGTATGAGATACAAGGAGTTGAGGCTTAGTGCGTGCTCCAACATCCACCAGATCATCTTCTTTGCCTCTCTTCTATCTGTGCTCACTTGCTTTCGTTCCTACCTTAGCCTTAGCAATGCTTCTTTCCCGTCGGTTTCAAACCCACAGCAAATGAGATAGTGCTTGCTTCCTAGATTTTTCGTGTGTTGCGTCCCTATTTCCTTGCGGCTTTGCACACTTGCTTCTTTATTTCTTTCTTTCTTTTTTTCTTTTTTTGCTTTCTTTCTTCCTTTTTTTTTCTTTCTTGCTTTCTTCCTTTCTCTCGTTCGTTCTTTCTTCCTTGCTTCCATGCTCCCTTCCATCCTTAATCCCGAGCTTCCTTCATACTCATATGTGTTTCGTCGTGCACCTTAGCCATTCTCAAGATGGCGGTGCTCTCAGGCAGAAGAGCCACCATCGGAAGAGCCTTCGTGACCATGGTCTTTTAAAACTTGTTTGGGAGTGCCTATTCCTTTTTTGTACTCGGGTGCGTTTCGTGGTGCAGCTTTGGCGTGCTCATGCTGGTGATGCTGTCAGGCAGAGGAGCCACCATCAACGCGATGAGCCTTGGCACTGAGTCAGACGCCTGTGCCGGCCACGAGCCAATTTCCATCTGCAAATGGGTCCGTATGCTATTCCCGCTTCCGCCGGTCAAAATTGGTGCAGTGATCTTTCCTCAGCGCCCCAACTACAACCGTTTACGCGTGTACTCATCAGGGTTCCCTTCATCTGTTGTGCCCATGGCATCTGTTTCTTCCTGTCTTGTCCTACCCACCCCCAATCATGTGCCAACCCTGCCCCTCATTTTCTCGCGAGTAATACTTGACTCCATTCGTGCGAGTAAGTTTCTGGAAATGGCGGACTCGTTACTTGCCCAAAGCGAGTAACAAAAACGAGTCGAGTAAATTACTTGCCTCTTTGTTCATGTCCAATCCCCTCTGTCCGATGCCTCCTGTATTTGTCCTGCTCCTCCTGTTCCTCCTCCTGCTCCTCCTCCTGCTCCCCCCCCTCTAACCCTCCTCGTCTGGCACCGTCTCATCATCCCTCCCCTTGAAGTATACATGTGCAACGAGGCGAGATTTTTGCCTCGGCTCGTACGAGGCACTCGTTCGAGGGCGGGTGAAAAGTTTAATTTTTGTGAAAATTACTCGTCCGAGCCAAGGCGAGTCTACCTCGGCGAGTACTCGTTGCGCTGACGAGTTTTTTGAAAAACTCGCCTTCCACTCGGCGAGTTTATGACTTCGACTTCCATTGCATTTGGGTTTGGGTGTGGTTGTGACCTGTTGCCCTGGCTGGGCTGGTTTTGTGATCCCCCACCCAATATTAACGCTCTCCAGGGCGAAAGACCTGGTCTGGATATGGGTATATTTTTTTGATGTTTGCAGGGTATCTTATTAGATTGCAGGTTTACAAAACTAGGCATGTACATGCTGGTATAGGGCAACAAGCCGAGCTTTCCTCGCGCTCGTCCGAGCTTTTTGTATAGCTCGGACGAGGTTTTGAAAAGCTCGTGACAAGAGACATGTCACGAGCTTGAGTTTCCCTGAAAAAACATGGACGAGCTAAACTCGGCTCGTGACATTACTCGTACGAGTGTGCCAGGGACTCAGCTCGTCGCTTTGCACATGCATACCTTGGAGAGAGAAGGTGCGCACAAGTTTATTGATGCATACCAATATGCCCTGCCAACCCTTGCGCATGTTTACTACCCCTCTCCACTACCCACCCACACATCCCATCCCTGCTTCCTCACTTGCAGTGATGCCCATGGAAACTACCTCTCAGGCTCCATTTCTGGTCTTCCATGGCAAAAAATGGACCTCTCAGACAACTACTTGACAGGTCCTCTGCCCGCATCAGACTGTTTGGACCAATCCAGGCTCGCCACCAACTGTTTTGCAGGCAACAACTGTTCTTGGGCAAAGCAGCGGCTTGCAGCACAGTGCACAGCGTTCTGTGACGTCTCCAGCGCCGATGCTTGTGGTGGTCATGGCATCTGCTATCCAGATGGACCCAGCTTGGTGCCAACGTGCTTGTGTAACCAGGGATACGTGCGGGCTGGAAGAGACTACTGCCATGCAGAAGGTAACATATTTCTGTTTTTTTTTTACATCACACTTTTTATGTGCAGTTCCTTCCACACGTGAAGTCAGCTTCATGCCTATGCCTCTACGTTGTTTGCCAAGTCAACAGATGAAAGTTCCCAAAGTTCCAACATTTACGGTCCCTTCTTGTGAACTGCTAAGTTCTGCAGTCGTATGCTTCTGCTGCTTCACTGGGTGCCTGCGCTCAATCCAGTTTTGTCGAATAAAATCATGTCGAGATTACCGGGTCTCTGTGCCCAATCAACTTCTCCTTCCTACCCATACCCTCCCCATCTCTTCTCCCTCGCACCTTCCCTCCGCCTCACCCTTTCGAGAGGGTATTATCTGTCTTCCTTCTTGAGGGTACGAGAATAATCTTCCTCAACCAATGGGCCCTAGAGTTTGAACCTGCCTTCCCTTCACCCATGTCCCCTTCCAACTCCCATAACATGAAATTCAGGCTGGATTCAAAGCTTGTCAGTCAGCAAGACTATTCTCCCCACACTCAGTATTCTCACCAAGGGGACGGGGCGTGAAACAGTGGGGAAGTTCATGGCAAAGCCATTGACCCTGTTTGCATACCCAACTCCTTCAAGCACGGGATGCGGTGTGGAGTTCGGTTTCAGTGTCAACTTCACCTTCTCTCTCACATCCCAGGACGGTATTGTCGGCCCCAATGGCTTTGCATTTGTGGTCGCAGCTAAGGGCACCTTGGGGAAAGCTGATGATGGTGTAGGGTATAGTGGAATGGGAACTCGGAGTGTAGCCATTGAATTCGACACGAGTGAGACTGTCAAGCACAATGATATGAAGGAGCATCATGTAGGGCTCAACATAAATGGCTCGGAACGTTCTCTGGTCGCAGTAGAAGCACCATCTACTTTGAACGATGGCAATTTCTACACGGCATGGGTGGACTACGACCCTTGGAATCGTGGGTCCATCAAGGTGTTTCTGGCAAGTTACTGCATGGTGAAGCCAGATAAGCCGCTGTTGCAGAGGGAGCTGTCGCTGTGTACGGTGCTGCAGCCTAGTGTGAAGCAGCCGGCGTTCTTGTTTGGATTTGTGGCGTCCACCACTGCGAAGCCCTTCCAGATGCATGCCATCCTCAGATCCGCTGTGCAAATAGGCAAGTTTCTTGTGTGAGTTGAATAAATGATCGTAATGACGATGACACCGCCTCCAGAAACGCTGAAATCCACACAACTTGCTGATGTGATTATAACGAAGGCTGTTGAAAATGCGAGCACGAACATGTTTGCCAAGAACATGTTTGTACTCGGGGCGACACCTTGTGTGTTCGCCCTCAAAAGCGAACAGGCGAACACCCTTTTTCAGAATGTGTTTGCGGTGTACCGAACATGTTCGGTTCGCCCAGGTGATATGTTTGACCAAGGCCGAGCAGGAACATGTTTGTGTTCGCCTCTTCCTCATTCAGACTCAGAATGATGATGATGGTGATGGTTTGAAGTGATTGGATGATGATGATGATCTCTTTGCAATGGTGATTTCAATGATAAGTATGGTTGTCGCTGACCTCGTATATACTGCTCACACTTTTATAAGGTCTGTTTCAAGGATGCCCTGTGATGGTTAGAAAGGCGTGGAGATTATGAAGAGGTGTGTAAGCTATGTATGTGACATTGCAACAAACAAGTCATGTGGTTTGTTTCCTTAAGTATCAGCTATCATCTTGGTACTGCTGTGGTTGTCTTTTTTTTTGTGTGTCCCCTCATAGGCATAGGTCCTCCACCCAAGCCACTTCAGACCACAGATGAAGGTGAGCTCTCTGTAATGTGACAATCAGCGTTGGTATTTGGGTCACATAAACGCGAACATACTCGTACATTTTCGATTACGTGTGCATTTGTGTATTTTTGTCTAAAGTTGACCGGGCAGAAGAATCTGTTTTTTGGGTGGGATTTAAAAGCAAGAGGAACATTCTAGTCACACATTACTAAAGGGGGTCAAGTTTTGCGTCATGGGTCCTTGCTAGTAACAACTTGCTACCAATTTGTTGAAGAATTCTCACATCTATTGTTAGACCATGCGGAACGAATACCCATCTCTGGCGACTAGAGCTTAGAGATAGGCGTGCGTGTGCTATCCAGGGCGTACTGAGGTTGCAACCTAGTTGAAGTTCGAACCTTGCACTACAGTACACGACGAAATTTGGAAAGTCCAGACTCCAGCGTGAATACGAATTAGGAAAACATACTCATTGTCCACACTTGTTACGTACAATAATTGCAAGTCCAGCAATGAGCAGGTCTCAACGATATAGGCAGAAGAAAAGCAAGGTAACCTGATCGTAATCATAAATACACAATGAACAATAATTAGATCCAAGTAGCAACGTGCAGGATAATCCAATTCTTGATGCAAATATTGGATGCACAACGATAATAGAAACCAATTAAGCGATTCTATGTTCAACAAGATCTTCACACACCATGTGTGCCTCTCGACTCAACTACCCCTCACCATTTCGCTCGCCGTCCACCCCTTCCCTCCCCTCACAGCCCGTGGCTTCATAATCTCGGATAACACGTTTGCAGCACCTGGAGCCAACCGATTCTCTCGATATGTGAGCACGGACTACCACTGGGATGATGGCAAGGAGTCATGGGCCAACGGTGACTTCCACACATGGGACTCCCGGACCTTCCTTGGCTGGCCTGTCAATAATCAGAGGGATTGCTGTGAGTGCCAAGAGGATGGAAAATTAAGAAAATGCTTGTCAGAGGAGCCCCACCTCATTCATTTATAATCTTATCCAATGTTATGTTCCACTGTATTTCTTACCGTCTGCATCGTTTCTTGGGGCAGGGCCTTCAAATGGGAATTCTTTCGACCCCCATTGCGTACCTCACATCTCTCATCTCTTCTTTTCAGCTGCATGCTGGGCGTATGCGGTGGTGGCGAGTGTGGAGGCTGCATACGGCATCGCAAGGAATCAAGCCGCTCCCCAGCTGTCAGTGGAATCTCTTTTTGCAGCCATGGGGCTCACCAACGCAGACAAGTGCACGGCTGGAGGCTCCCCCACTGCGGCCTTTGAAAAGCTCGTCACTCTTAAAAGCAGTGGACTCACAGGAGCCAGTGACCCGGTAAGGCAAACAGAATGAGAGAATGGTATGTGAGGCGGGAAGTGCTCGTTGAGGCCCTTAGTACTTGTTAAAGCCCCTTGTTAACTTGCTTGCCAACATGTTTGACAACAAATTAGTGCTTCTGATGGGTGCTTGGGACATGGATACATCGAGGTGCTTTGACCTGTATCCTGCTGTAACTATGCATGTGCAAACGTTCAACCAAATCAAACCGGCAGGCTAGTCGAAGCGAACCTAACTGGCTCGGGCCAAACCGGTTGGGGACCGGGCCGGTTCAAGGTTTTATCCATTCTGGTCAAGTCATAAGTGTTTCAACACGAACCGGGCATGGTTAGGTCGGACCCGTTTGGCTTCGTTTAGAGTGTCTTCACTGTAATCTCCTTTTAAAAAACGACTCTAAAGTGTTGGGGCAGGGAGGCTAGGTTGGAGTAGTAGGTTGTGAAAAACGTTGGAGCTCGAAGTAGGTTATGATTTTAGAGGCATTGCCTTAATTGACAGCACAAACTGCTTGCTTGGGCCATGTGTCATTTGATGCGACCCTAAGTGCGCGTCGAACTGGTTCGGTCTGACACGGTTGGGCCCGGGAGCTTGAACCGGTTTGACCGGCTCGAGACTGATCCCGTCCTGTTTGAGTCGAACTGGACAGCAATAAAACCAAGGCTGCAGTCCAGTTCTATGCCCATGTCTGCCATATATGTTTTTTACCTTGGAGGGACATGGCATCATGGACTCTGTGCTGTACCCTTGGTTAATTCCGTCCCCTTTGTTCCTAGGCTAAAAGATATCCGGTGCAAGCATTTGAGCGAGCGCACTTCAAGGGGTACTTCGGGCTCATGCTGGCAGTGCGGTACCAGCCAGTGGTGGTTCACATCGAGGCCGCTGACTCGTTCTGCGAGTATGATGGGGTGAGTCGTTGCAGCACCCATGCAGTGTAGTGTGTCCTGGTATTCTTGCAGGTAGGTGACAGAGTGATGGCAAATATACAATTGTAACGTAGTAGAGATCTTTGGGTTTTGCAATAATCCTTGAAATGCAATGTTAGCAGAAGTGACCTTACCATCCTTGTAAATCTCTATCTTAACTTTGCACTGTCACTGTCCCCCTTTCTGCTTCAGACTTCCAAATATCAGGATCCTTCTTGCTACAGTGGCAATCTGAACCATGTCGTACTCGTCATTGGCTACTTCATCAATAGAGATGATGGCAGCCAAAATCGCATTGCTCCTCCGTTTTGGATCATCCGCAACTCGTGGGGAGTTACGTGGGGTGACGGGGGCCACATGTGCATGGGCATTGAGGGGGAGGATGGCGTCTGCGGCATCAACGTGTTGCCTGGCATCTACCCCATCATCAAGAGTGAGTCACCTACCCCTTTGGAAAGAGTGAGGCGACTGTGGCCACATGCACATGGGCGATAAGGGAGGGGCGTGTGCGGCACGTATGCCTAGCATCCACCCCATTGTCAAGAGTAGTCATGCGCATCAGGTCGACCTGACCCGACCCGACCCAATTTTGCTCAGGCCGGATCAGGTTTTACCTGCTCGCAAATTCCCGGCCTGATTGGGTCGAGTCTGATTGGGTTGTCCTGGTCGGGTCAAGCCTACCAGAAGTTCCACCTGACCCGACCTGACCCGATGCTCATCTTCAATCGAGAGTGAGGAACCTACCCCTTTGTCAACAGTGAGGCATGTACCCTTGTCAAAAAGAGGGGCACTTGTACTCCAGATTCAAGAATAGTAAAACCATACGTTTTTTTTAATAAATCCAGTTTCCAGAGTGATAAATCTGTCCCAATTTCAAAACTCATGCGTATAAGCCACTCCCCTCCCGCCCCCTCCCGACCTTTACACCCCAAATCATGCCTCTTTCTTGCTCTGGAAGCTGAACGTAACACGTGCCATAGAGACGTAGTAAGATAGAGAAGGAGAGACGTCTTCCCAAGGTGAGAGGGACTCAGCAGTTCATCTGACTGGTGAGCTGGGACCAACGACCATCAACAGGTAACTGATGGACTCAAGAGCTAACACAAAGAAGCCCCCTTGGCTGCCTCCTTGCTTGCCGCTGAGCCCATCCCGTAGTCGCTACTAGGTGCCTGGAGCTCATGGGGTGTGTGATGGTGATAACAAAGCTCCAGATTAGCCCTGAGTACCTACGTCGGATGGCTGGGTCATTGGTCGGTGCTGTACGTTGCAAGTTTTCCTTGTGCATGTCCCACAGTGGAGCATGAAAGTTGTGTAGGCTTGAGGTATGATATTGCTGCAGCCACATGCGATGTTCATGTGGGGAGGCCCAAGCAGAACCTTGAGGCGGCAATGCAAGGTTGTGCGGGCTGATGCAAAGGGTTGACCGCCCCATTGGTTGTGTATGGCTGCTCCTAAACCCACTGTGATGCCGTAGCCTGCTGGGACAGTGGAGTAATTGGAAATGGAGCAATGGAGTGTGCTGGAGCGTGCGGCCGAATGGGTCCTTGCGTTCCTTGCGCAGCTGGTCCTTTGCACCCATCGCATTGAGCCAGCCAGGTGTGGAGGTAAGTGAGGAGGATGCATGCATTTGTCAATCCGCAAGGTCGCGAGATGCCAATGGGCCTGGGTGAAGCTGGCTAGGAAGTTGGAGTCTGCTTGAACCGTAGGTGCCATGATCTCTAACATCCCCAGTGAATAATGAAGAGAGGTTCTGGCCTTCAGGAATGCGGATGTCACAGGCCTTCAGGAACTTGTGGAACAAGCTAAGCTGAGGCCCCATTGCAAGTTCCAGTGAGAAGAAGGTCAAGAGGTGGGCGCGGGCAAGGTAAGAATCCCAAGGCAGATGCTGCCTGAGGAACAACGAGGCCTATGACGGCAACAAGAGGTAGGAGGGTGGGCCAAGGAAGAGAGGGTGCCATGGAAACCTGCTGTTAACCAACATAGAAGCCCCCCCCTACCCCCAGCTGCACTAGGAGGGCTTCTATAATCGTATGGAGAGAAGTAGATAGCCCTTTTCCACTTTTGTTGCGACAGTGAGAATCAGGAGTGGTCCTTCAGGTTTCACACAAAGTGACAAAATCTGGCAATCACCATTAGAGCTAATTCTGGTGGAAATCCAAAGGCACTCACTTCGTGGTGAGTAGCTTCAATGTATACTGGTAGCAAGCACGGCATGAGTTGCAATGTTTCTGACACATTTCTTTGCCCATTTTCATGTGTCTCCTCTGCACCCTCTCCTTTGCCTTCCAGTTCCGGAGGACCCGTGCAGCAGACAAAGCTTCAAGGGCGACCAGGATTTGTACGGCATGAACCCCTGCGGCCGGTTCCCATGCCAGGAGACTACTGAAGGCAACACCTGCAACTGCATTCATCCTAAAGTTCCTCAACATATGATGCAACCTTTTGTTGAGGCTGCGAACGGAGATGGCTCCAAAACATGTTCTTATGGTGAGATGTAACACTCTCAAAACGGTCCTTCTAGTTTATCCGGTACAAGGGTTTAGGGTTTAGGGTGATATATGGGTACAAGCAGGTGGACAGGCAGGAGCTGAACAGCAAATACAACAGCAACTAGCTATACCCTGTTTTAGTAACCCGCCCCATCCCGTTGGGTAGACACCTACCCCTCCTCCAGTATGTGGAGAAGGTCTCCCATCTGCACCGGCCCTGCATTTGGGGAACGGTCCACGTGCCTATGGGGGTGAGCCGCCTTGTTGTGAAGAGCACTCGCCTGCTTCATTGGAGCGCCAGCTTCTTGGCCGATGTTTTTCTTCTCTCTCTCTCCCCCTCTGACACGCACACACACTCACCCAACCCATGCTGGAGGGAATGTGGCATGTATGATAACAATTGCTATATGCCCCTTTTTTTTCTTATCCTTTCTGGTTGGTTGTGTCCACGTCCCTTGTTGTTCCTCAATCTTCCTCTCTGTCTCCACTCTGCATAATATCAATCACCCCATTGCCACTGTGGCAGTGGACGTGTGTGGGTCATACTTCAAGAACCCCTGCTACGTGGGGTCATGCATCAACGACCTCAAGGGCTCTTACTCCTGCATCTGCCCTCCCAACCACGTTGAACGAGCTACAATATACGGATTCCCCACCTGTGATCCAGGTGATGCTTTATCACTCCCAGTTTGTTGTGCTGTCCTTATAAAATTTCCTGCACAGAAGGGATACAATGTGCCTCTTTCTCCCAACCTTGTCCCCCTCTTTTTGTCCGACTCATCTCACTCTACATAATAAATACAACAAATTCCACAGCCACCAACATGACAGTCAGTGGAGACAAATGGCAGTGTTCGGATGTTTCTCCACTTGTTGGCATCGCATTGGACAAATTACGTTCTAACAATCTGGTAAGGACTGGGTTTCGGAGTGACAAACAATATGGCAATGTTTTCTTTGGCACATGAATGTTTCATTGCACATGTTCTTACTGCATTGCGCCTCACGTTGTTCTCTCTTGTCTATATCATTGCTGATGTTGTGTATTGGCGAGCAAGGGAATATTTTTATAACCTTGCACTCATGCTGCAACGTTTTCATGCAAATGTTTCAAAATACAGGGCTTAGATTGCAGCCAGCCATTGCCCAAGGGCAGTACCATTCAGCTGGGTGGAACTCCTGACATACCTTGCACTGTCTTCTTCTACACCCTCAAGGTGAGACGACATGGTGCCCTCTTGATTTCACCACAAAGTGCTCTCCACCAGTTTGTTTGGCCAACTAGATACAAACATTTGTAGCCAACACCACGTGCACTCAACATGTGCATTCTCCCTTGCTTTGTCCAACTCTCCAGGGTGACACATGTTCATCCATCGGCACGCAGCTCAGCTTGAGTGAGGGAAATCTTGCCACGCTCAACCCCGGCCTTGACTGTTCGCTCAATGGCCTCAAGGCGGGCCAGTCAGTGTGCATCGAGCGCAGCTCTGCCTTCGCCTACAGTGTTCCAGAGTGTGAAAGATATGGCATGCTGACATCAAAGGATACCTGTAAGGTGCTGCTTCAAGGAGCCAACAACGGTGGGGCTGTAACTGCAAGTCAGTGGGCTGAGCTGTACCGCAACAATCCCGGCCTGTCCTGCTCTAGCACCATTGCGAGCGACACCAAAGTGCAGGTAAGGGTTGAGAGTTGCTGTTAATGTTTTGAAACACGTGGGAAAGGAAGGGAGGGAAGGGGTAAGTGAGGAGTGAGGCAGAGGAGGGAGGCAGGAGGGTTGCAGTGTAGAGAAGTTGAAGTGGGAGACGGAAAGGAGGGACATTCGGGAGTGCAAAGCGATGAAAAAAGGTAGTTGTTGTGTACTTCATTAGGCCAGAACTCATGGGACTTGTACAACGCCATTTTAGGGCACTACCATGTCACGACTGTGTTTGCACCAATCCATTCCTTGTCGAACTTCTGGAAAATTTTCCTCGTCACCCTTCCCTCTAGTCTGCATTTCTTGTGAGGCCTCACTTGTCAAGTTTGGCATTCATGTGTCCTGTTATGGCAGGTTTGTCTGAGGGCGGAGTATTGGTCATTCACAAAAGGCGTCACTTGCAAAAAGGGCATACCCAAGAAAGTGAACATTAAAGATTCGTGTTCAGCTGTATTCGCTACCTATAAATTTAACGGTAATCAGCAGTTTTCAGAATATAATGGCAAGGATTGCTCTAGTACCGTAGGCACCAAGTCGATATGTGCGCCCAAATAGTTTCTAGGTGCCGTGTGATTTTGTCGGGTTTTTTTGAGTCGTTAGAACTCTGCTTGTGCTTGTGGATGTCTATTAAATACAATTTCTGATATTGTTACATTATTGTTTTGCAAATGTTTTCATAATTCCCCAGATAGTACAAACACAGGATCCACATAATACAACATTTGTTTAGATAGCAAATCCCTTCCCCCCCTTTCCCTTCCTCCTCCCCTCCCCTCCCCCCTCTCCTCCTCCCCCCTCCCCCCTTCCTCCCCTTGCTCCCCTCCCCACCTTTCACACCCTAACCCCTAAACCAAACATCAAATGTTATTGAATTAACGTATTCTCTAGGACAAAACACCCCCCCGTAATTGTACACCCCCGGGTAGCTTGTGCTATGGGCGACCTCGTTTCTACTATACCCCCCTTTTTGAGTGATTTTCTATAACACCCTCCTATTCTTACGGATACATTATTATAGTCGCTAACGAGTAGCTGCAATACGGAAGAATATCGCGAGAATTCCTCCCCTGATGAGATTTCGCAGTACTTTCATTTACAATCTGCCAAGATTTCCCCCTCCCACTATTTCGCTGTCGCCATGTGCTGGTGAATCTTCCGCTGCAAGTGGCCAGAGAGGTGCCACATGGCATTTTTGTGGGGGTGATGAAGTTCACGGCCGAAACTCACATTCGCGCCTCAGACAGTGATGTTAGAACGACCATCAAAACACGCACATTGTGTAATGAAAAAACCGCTATCACTAAAATATG